AAAGTTTTTAACTTTAATAACATTAAGTAATAACTAATAAATATAGAAAATTCAAATTCAATCCACATTTTACTATTTTTTTTTATATATTAAATAAACACTTTTTTATGCATGTAATTTACTAATGTATAATATTCTGTAAATAATATTAATATAAATATAAAAATTAAATTAAAAACCATTTAAAATGAATTTTGTATTATAATTTTTGGAATTTTATATTGCATTTTTGTATTTCAGGTGCCTATTTTACTGCATTTTTTTGATATTTTTAATGATTTTTTTTTTTAAGGTTCTTAAGTGCATTAAATGCACAGCCCTACTTATATTATACAAATGTGGTTCAATTGGCGATCAACGATGATTTTCTCCGTTGTATTTCGTGGGGCGTGGGCTAATTATAATTCTATTATTATAAAAACTACCACGAACTTACACAGAATATTACAATTTTACACGTGTGAGGTGAAGAAATACTCAAAACGTAACATGATTTTAATATATTGGTCAGTGCCTAAAATTTTTTACACTCCATACGTTTCTCTTTAAGACTAGGTACGTATAAAATTTTTTTTTTTATGAACAGTTATATTTATCATTCGTAATTCGTTTACAATATTAAATTTATAATAATACAATACATAATCGGCATTTCAGAAATACACTTTGATCGTCGTCTTTGTTATAATATGCTTTAACCCATAGTGTTCTATGGGTTATAATGTTTTGACATATTAATATATAATTGATCTGTAATGTATTATAGATAAATTATATGTAAACATATATGATATAATATAAATACTATATGTAACCACTAACCATGTATAGATATGTTTACAAAATATTATATTACATTTTTTTATTATCTCCGCGATATAAAAATTTCTCTTCCGCTTTTTTTTATAGCGACGATATGCTTGAATGGCAATGATATACGTCTTTGAATTTCTTGGTTTGTGATGAGTATTATTGTTCACGATATTTTCATAATAGGCCACGAGTTGTCCCGCGATCGAGTTTCAGTCGCGTTTTATAAATAGTCGACGTGTAACAAAAACTATACCACTGTTAACAGTAACCGTGATTTACTGCGATGTATACATGAGTAATACAACAATGTGTTATAAAAATATAATATGATTGTTGACCGAGACCGAAAACATCGTCAACTTATCAGTGACAGGTGTATGGTATTTGGTATAGTGAACAGTTATATTATTGCGGTAAAATAATAGCTTACCTATGTTTGTCTGCATAATATTATCAATTATTATTATTATGACATTTTAATATTTACGACTGTTGTACACGTTGTTCGTTTGCGCGTTGATAACTCCGCACGCCGCCCATGATATTGTATTATAGGTATTGCTTACTATAGGTTTTATCCTTGTGTTTCGTCATAATTATCAACTACCTACCTATTGGCTATTACCACCTATAACCTTGCTACTCATTATTTATAACGTTAAAGTTCTAAAAATAAAGAAAACCGGTTATCGTCGATATACGCGGCCCAAGCAATCTCAATAATACACGACTTCTATATAATTTATGTGTAATATTATATTATCATGATATCGGATTTCGCACATTTCGTCCGAAACGAAAAAAAAAATAGTCTCTTATTTCCGAATCTCCCGCATTCCGCCGATCGTCTACTGCTGCTTATCTGTCGACATATTTTTTGGGGATATCCTTCAATCGGTATACTTATCATTATATTATTATTGAGTCGACGACTTGAACACAATATTTGAAAAACTGTTTTAAAGCAGAAATGTCGTATCGCGTAGGTAAGTATTATACCTACGTCCTACATACATATTCCGACATCGATTTTACTGTCAGCTATAATAATATGAACTTGGCCATTTGCAGTGGTTACCAGCGGATACCAGACTATCCACTGTCCAATCTTGAGGTTTTTCGTTATTATATATTATTATATTATTTCGTTAAGTATATTATTATATATATATTACACATTCGCCGCTCGTGTCCTTGTCAGATTGTCGATGAAAATTTTATTGAGGTCTTTGTTATGAATTATGATTATTAATATTGGTGAAAATAACGTTTACGCGTACAATAACAACTCTCACGGCTCGATAAATTTTGAAGGTCAATAAAAATCAAAAACATCAATATTTTAATATAGTGTAGGTAAGTTCAACGTGGAAAAAAAACAGTGCCTACGGATGGTGTGGTGTCTGGGGGGTGTGAACAAAAGGCCTATTACCCACATGCATTGAGAGTACCGAAATATTTATCTAAACATTTTCGATGAATGGATAAGGGTGGGTGCGTGCTTGTTTGCCGGTAAAGTTTTACCCTCTCCCCCCATTTTAATCACTCCGATCAACCCATACAACATGCGATCGATCGCTGATGGGGCGGTTAGATGCTAAGGCGGCATGCCGAAATTCGTGGGTGACCCCAACTATAATAATATAATAGTATCTATTCTGTCATTCTGTGGTATTTTATATTTTTATTGTAGTACATAATATTTACGTTGAGAGAAGAATAATAGAGACTATACGGGTCGCTGCGATGGCGGTCGGAGGTAGAAATAGGCACAATATTATAGTGCTTCGGTCGGCTGCGTTCAGCGTTGTACAATGACGTATATTACTATATTTTTCAGGATTTTTTTATGTTGAGTTTCAATACGATCATTGTGAATCCCGGAAAAAAAGACCAAGGAAAAGAAGAACACGGAAAAAAAGAACAATCGAAAAAGAACAACAGAAAAAAAAGAACACGGAAAAAAACAATTTTAAAAAATACAAAATATAATGCTGATCGATTATGGAAATAAAAAAATGCATACATTTTTAATTAGTGCGTAAAGACGTAAAGTGATCACTTATTATGCATACATTTAAAAATTAAAACATATTAAATTAATTACTTAAATAATAGCATGTATAAAAAGATCTAAGGGAATTTTCAGTAATAAACAGTTATTTTATGTAATATATTTTATATATTGTATACATTTATACCATAACTTACATTTTATGATAATGTATGAAAAGGTCACATATGAGATCACTGTGATCCATGATCGCTGCATAGGGAATTTTCAGTACCCAATAAAAATGTATTTTACTCTCTATTATACCACAATTATTATATTGTATTTATTAAAATTTTATGAAATGAAAATAACAAGATTTTCAAAAGAAATACATTTATATTATATTTATAGATTGATAATATTATAACAATTAACAATAATTTAAATATAATTAAATATACATTGTTCTTAGGGGGATTGGACGGTCGGTTTTTAACAAATTCAATAATTTTTGATTATTTTTGATATATTTAAAATTTTTAAATGCGTGCATAATAAGTGATCACTTTACACACTAATTACAAATGTATGCATTTTTTTAATTTTTCATAATCAATTATATTTAATAAATAAATAAATAATATTATATTCTAAATTTTAAAAAATCGTTCTTTTTTGGTTGTTCTTTTTTTTCCTACTAACGATCATTGTGATACCCTTGCACGGTAAATTAATACATGGCAAACGAATGTTGTGTGCGCATCGTCGTGTATATAATAAAGTACTTGGTAGTCACCTGATTTCTTTTTTTTTCTTCGAAAAAATCGAGTGATATTTTATTCTCCGGACGTATCGGTGCCATACACGCGTGGTGGGCACGTGGGATATCCGCAGCAATCGGCATATAATATACGTAATAAATATTAAATAATAATGTCATTATATTGCAGTGTCGCTACGTGATATTTTTTCGGTAATATAAGAAACGAAAAAATCTCTCTACGACTACGGTGCGGTTCAACGAGTAAAATCGCAAAACAACGTTTTTTTATCGAGATTAGAAAACGCATACATTTGTTGTACACACAGAGCCAGACGACTCGTTATTATTATACTACGAGTACTATATCAATGGTAGCCAACTTGACTACTTGAGGTTCGAGTATGCACACATGTATGATGGTTGAAAATAAGTATTGTTGCACAAATAATGAACGATGAAAGAAATAAAAACAGTATGTATGGCACAATACACGTTATACTCTAATATAATAATTTAATTGAAAAAAACTCATACTAATATCGTACCCATTAGGTTTAAAAGGTTAGGGTTTTTCCGCAGTCTTGCCTGTGACCACCGACACAAAAGTTTTGTACTTGTCGCTGGGCCGTCCGAAAGAGAAACCAAATCCTAAGATACAATGGTGTAGCCAGGATTTCTAAAAAGGGAACGTCACTAAAAAAACCTCATAAAAATTAGTTTATATTGTTGCACTGGGATAACTTTTAACTTATTTTATGACCAGACATTTATAATATTAATTACATTAAACAACTCACTGAAATAAATAACATTTTTAAAAACTTTTTGTTCATATTCACAGCTTACATATTTATGAGGTACACTAATAATATAATATTTTCAGCGTGTCCAAGTTCAATCTAAAATTTTCATTCTTCTTAGAGATTTTTTATATAAAAAATCTCAACAGTAATTTTTCAATATTACTGTCATATTCACCAAAGATTTATCAGCCAATGAGAGGAGGATGTCCCCTTCGGTCCCCCCTTGTAACGCTACTTGCTAAAATATCTTCACAAATCGGACAATCCGTATTAGGTCTATCCATCTGAACATTTTTCGTTATTCGCTTTTTCGGCTCACTGCGTATATGTCGCAATAAAGGTCAGCACGACTGTCGGCCAACCCCCGATAAGACAGTAATAACAAATAAGACCTCCCTCGCGGTATTTTCCTTGGGCTTCTTGGGGCTGTAGAGAAATGCTCAGTGGCCTCCGCCGCCGTCTCGCCGCTCGGTCGGTGGTCGTCGGTCGGTCGGCGGTCGTCGGTCGGTCGGCGGTGGCGGCGGCGGCTGTCTACGTCGCGGTCGCCGCGGAGGAGAGCAACCGCAGCTGCGTGCGTCGAACGAAACGCGTCGCGGGTGTCGGTGGTGGCGGCACATCAGTCGCGTTTCGATCGGCAACCTCGTCGCACTGTTCCGCCGCCGTAGCCGCAGCGCATAATCACACTACTAATAATAATAATATTATCACAACAACAACAACAACAACAACAACTATAACCGTGATATCGTCGTAATAACGTCCACGTGACAACGACAGAATCGGTACGAAACGCGTTAGTAATAATAATAAAAACATCAAACGTTTTTGTGACGTTGGAAGACCGACTGTAGTGTCGTTGACGGTACAATCATAATAATAATATTATTATCTATTACCATGGCCCGGTCGTGTAATGTTGCAGTGCGTCGTGCGACGGTCGCACCGACTTCGCGGCCATCCGACGCGTCGCAATAACGACGACAACAACGACAACCCGACGACTCCGACGCCGACGGTCCATTGTTACGGTTGTGCCGAGCTATTAAAGTGACGACAGTGACACTCCATCGCCGCCGCCGGACGACGGACAGCCGACGCGACGAGTTTTATGCGCGCCGCTGCGAGACCACGACTCGCCGCCGCAACGCAGACGCAGCGACGCTGTCGCCGCCGACGCCGCCGTCGCATCTTCCTCGACCCGAAACCGTTGGCTGCACGCGCGCGCCATGTACGTGTCGCTATGCAGGGGAATCCCGGAGAGTTCGTTCAGGTACAACCGACGACCGCCGCGCGACGCGTTTAAACGTTTTTGCACTCATTCAAATCAGTCGTTGGGGAGACGCCGAGCCCACGTGGTAGGTTACCCACACGGGTAGTGAATTTACTTCGGGCAGAACCGACTTTGTGTCGTCACCGATATATTAGAGTGAATTTCACCTGTTGATATCACCTGACACTTGATGGTAAGAACGTGAGATTATTGATATATTCCCCAGGGCACCTCTCCGCCGTGTAGACTTCTACCGATGATGTTTATTCATTCATATTTATAGTACCTAATTAAAGTTTTAAATTTAAAAATATAAATTAAACCTTTCGAGGTGCCCTAGACAATGTCCTTGCCTTTGAGTTTAATAATATCGGTCGATTCGCTCTAATATTAAAACCTATACAAGTATACAACAACACATTATCGGTTCTGAACGCAAATTTACTACGCTGTACCTACGTTTGGGTAACGGAGATAACACGTGTGGGTTCGGCGTCCTCTTAAAAGCCAGTTTCCGTACAAAAAAATATTGTATTCCGAACACTGTCTGATCTATACTATTCTGAACAGATGTTATTATTGTAACTTTTCACTAATAATAATATGACGTATTGTTGGATGTTCGGAACATTGTCTGTCGTGGACCACATTTTTCGTCGGGGGCCGATTCCAACGAACCGCGTTCAACAATATTTGTTTCGGATATAACTGTATAAGTATTGAAAAATAATATTACTCTGAGCATAGTTCAATTTGTTTGTTTGTACGGAAACGAGTCTTTACAATACGAGGTGGGGTATTTATAGGTGTGCGGGTGGGTGGAGGGAATTGAATGAAGCTGTACGTAAAAAACGATATAAACGGCATGATGATAATGACATGTTATGTTTTATATAATAAGTTATAACTGTTTGGAGTCCAAACGAATCAAGTTTGACAATTATTTCAAACAATTACAAGATGTTCGCTCAAGTATTATAACCGTAGATTTTCATCATAGTCTTCGTTTTGAGTAGTTTGCATTAAAATTGATTAGCATAAAATTGTCCGGAGGCCACGTGCCCAGCAAATCAAATCCGGCCCTGTAACATCATAAATCATAATATTATTGTAAAACAACCGTCGGGCACAGTCTGTCTGTCGGATTTATTTTCACTATACTCGACTCAATATGCCAGCATACCGTTTAAGCCGCTCACGCTTGATTCGAAAACTTGCGATTTATAGACCATAATATTATGTCATAAAATACATTATTGGTAAGTACCTCTCTCGAGTCCGCGAGTGCATGACGATCGCGATGATGTTGCATAGTTTATGTGCTCTGAGCTAGGGTGTTTGATATAATTTTATATTACAATAAAATAACATGATGACGGAGTGCGGAGACGAGTCATAGTGCACGCGCACGCACACAGTGTGAGAGGGTGAGAGGTCGGGAGAGTGTGAGAAGGGAAGAAAACAAATTCCAATTGGCCGGCGAACCCCTAAAACTGTACCGAGTTGGTCACTATATGTATCACACTATTCATATATATATATATATCATGACGAACGACAACGACGACGGCACTGGGGTTTCGTTGGAATTGATCATAGTAATAATAATAATAATAATAATAATAATATAAAATATTATAGTTATTGCGACGTACGCGCGACATGTGAATGTATACAATACTGTTCGTTTTTGGCGCCAAAAATAAAATACGTCGTTCACTCCTAAACGAAATGAAAGAAGATTTCACCGGCGAGAAAGCAGTGAGGTGCATGTGCAGGCGTGTTTCTCGCCCGTGCGTAAGAAACCACTCTGCTGCACGGCGCAGATGCCAAGAAAAAATAACAACAACAACAACAACAACAAACTCAATGGGTCGGAAGGATGGAGACACAATACGATTTTTTTGTTATTATTATTATTGTGTGCGTGTATTTGGAGGTATACTCGTGACGTCACTCCCACGTGGACGCCCGAGAGTGTTGCTCACCGTATTGTTGTATTATATGGTATAGTATCGTACCATATAGCGAGCGTTGCAGTTGCACCACGTCGCCGCCTTGGCATACAGAGCGATTCAACGAGCATAATTCGATTTCTGATGAATATTTGGAATTTTTAAGGTAAACACCTAAGGACAATACTGTTATGATTTTTAAACACTTTGATTTCGTATACCACACAATAATACGAAGAAAATCCAGAAGCGATTTAAACTTTTTTCAAACTTGAAACCCCCCTTTTCTCTGCGAATTATTAAGCAGATTATTTCCATGCGCGATGCGCCTAAATCAAAATTTGAATTTGAAGTTTCGATGTCTTACTAAACTTTATGTAGGTAGTAAGGGCAATAATAGTTTTACATAAAATACAAAATAGATGTAATATTTTAGTCTTCTATTATAGTTACATGTTGTACTGGGACAACTTTTACCTCTCGAAGTAATTCTATTTCGAACAAGTAGATTATAACTTACTTACAAGTCATATTAAGTTATAATGTCATACTATAACTACTCGTTCTATATTCCCAAAATAATTTTCTGCATCGAAGTATGAAATTAAAAATACATGTTGTCATTCAAAAATGTAAAACCTTTAAAAAAGTGCTTATACTTATCAAACAATTTTCAAAATAGTAAATAATTTAATTATTTGTTTCTAAATAGTTGTTTTGTAATGACTTCTCACAATTATATATTTAAAAAAAAATGGTTTGTAAAAACGTAATACTTTTCGTGGTACTTATGAGTGTTTACTGTTAAAAGAATCACCATAAAATGGCCTATATTATAATTAATACATCGAGTTAAAATTGTACAATTATTCTCGATGACTGGGCATTAATTTGTGATGACTTATGACATATTATTAGTATTATATTTCATTACACAGAACGTCGATGTACGTATACTATTATTGTACCTGGACTGCACCTGTAGACGAGCAGGTACCACAGGGCATCAACCTGCGTCGTTTACAATTATAGTCAATAATTATGTTTATAATATTCAATTATTATGTTATTGGTCGGATTTTCTCGGTATTTGCACCATGAAAATTGTAAATAGGTATGTATACTTTGTTATATGGGCTGCATATAGTATCTAATTATAATATTATAAATTATTTTCTCGTAGGAATCCGCGCAAATAATAGTGTATTAGAGTTTAAAAGAGAAAGTACCCACAGTTGAATAATATAATATTTTAGTCTGGTGGGACATTTTCACATAAACAGTTGATATTAGTATCTATGATTAAATTGTACATTCCATGCTAACTAGTGTTTACCCTAATTACGAAACGCGTGTTTGTACTTTAAATTTTAATAGTACCTATAGATCATTAATGGTTTGTCTTGATGAAAAAATCCAAAAAGGATCGCACGTTTTCTATACTCATATATAGTCATATAATTTATCATTGTCAAATCTTATGAAATGCATACAAATTGGGGCCGAGCAACCCCATTGACGTAATTATAGTAATAAATTAAACTATGCTTAATCTCCGTTCTGAAAATCTTGAATATAATGCAACAACATTAATGTGGTGTAATTTCTTTAATTCCATAATAAATACTGCAACTGCAGTGGAAATGATAATGTCAAGTATTGCATAAACTGTAAATCACGTATGCTTGAGATATAATGTTATAATATTGTAAATATTTATTAGAATAAATATAGAAAGGAATTCATCACTTCAGACTGTCGACAACACTTTTAAATAATACAAAGATTGGATTTTTTCCCGTAGACGTCATTCCATTGTAATAGTACGTATAATACATCTATTCTGTATTAACCTGGAATCCTACAGGTGGTATATTTCATCAGTTAAAAAAAAAACCATAATTTTGGTGTGCAAGATTGGGGTGATTTAATAAGAATTATTGTAACAACTTATAAGATTTGAATTTCTATTTTAAATTCTTCTTGATGGTACCCTGCCACAATTATTTGACTCCTGATTCGATTAAAATTAAAAACGTCAACATACTGTTTATTTCGTTTTATTTATACGTAATAGTATCACATGCAAATGTATGTTTCAAAATCGAAAGTGAATTTTTTTTCAGGGTTCTTACATATTTTCAGTCGTACTTACATATTGGCTATTATCGTATCTTGGCAAGAACATTGAAAACATGCGCTAGTGCCATACGCCACATTATTTAGAGCGGTGGATTTGTTTCTATTCTTCACTCTAAACAAAATGCACACAATTGTATTATATACAGAGCAGTCTGTTTAAATCTGATTCATATTATTAACGTTGATGTACATTTTATTTTTTAACCATCCTCCGTCTGCGAATAACATTTTTTTTTTGTTTTATATATTTTATTGGCTAATAGTTAAGTTAATAATGTGTAGTAGTAGTGCTGCTAGTTCACCAACTTTTTTTTACACCTACAAAATGTATTCAATCGGTTTCAACGCATATCGTTAAGTTCGATATTTTCTAGTACGACCAGACACCATTCATGATGTATGACGAGCATAAATTCACCTCATGCTTCTGATTATTTAAGGCATCAGATTTGTATTTAACTTCCAACGAACTACAAAAGTACTGGCATTTGAGCGTTTAATACAGCCTCGAGTAATACATTATAATAATAGCTCTACGTAGTGCCTATAGGTATTTCGTTACACAAACAGACAGACTGCGGTTTATATAAGATAATATGGATTTTTTTCACGTCTATCAGATAATGTTTTGTAATAATTTATATTTTATATTATCAACTCATTTGCATTGCACAGTTCCATATATATACTCGTGTGTATATAAATTCTCGGAATTATGTTACATTGAATTATTAATGTAATAAGAAATGACTAATAGAAAATACGATTGCGTATCGATCCAGAGTTGAAATTTAAATGTTCCACATCGTTGTGTGCATTATATGATAATAAATAATAATAAATTGTGTATTATATGGTATTGATTCATCAATTAATTCAACCATTATTTGTAAGTAATCGAGT